TTTTATTAATTGGCTTATATAATTGGCTGCTCCCATGTTAGGGGCCTAGATATTTATAATTGTTAGATCTTCTTGTTGGATAGACTCTTTAAGTAGGATATAGTGTCCTTCCTCATCTCTTATTACAGTCTTTGGTTTAAAATCTAATTTGTCTGATATAAGGATTACCACCTCAGCTCTCTTTTGATGTCCATTAGCATGGTAGATGGTTTTCCTCCCCCACACTTTCAATCTGGAGGCGTCTTTGGAGCTAAAATGAGTCTCTTGCAGACAGCATATTGATGGGTCTTGTTTTTTAATCTAATCTGATAGCCTGTGTCTTTTGATTTGGGCATTTAGCTCATTTACATTCAGGGTAACTATTGAAAGATATGAATTTAGTGCCATTGTATCGCCTGTAAGGTGACTGTTACTGTATATTGTCTCTATTCCTTTCTGGTCTATGTTACTTTTAGGCTCTCTCTTTGCTTAGAGGACCCCTTTTAATATTTCTTGTAGGGCTGGTTTGGTGTTTGCAAATTCTTTTAGTTTTTGTTTGTCCTGGAAGATTTTTATCTCTCTTTCTATTTTGAATGACAGCCTAGCTGGATATAGTGTTCTTGGCTGCATATTTTTCTCATTTAGTACTCTGAATATATCACACCAGTCCTTTCTGACCTGCCAGGCCTCTGTGGATAGGTCTGTTGCCAATCTAATGTTTCTCCCACTGTAGGTTACATATCTCTTCTCCTGAGCTGCTTTCAGGATTTTCTCTTTATCTCTGAGACTCATAAGTTTTACTATTAGATGTCGGGGTGTTGATCTATTTTTATTGATTTTGATAAGGGTTCTCTGTGCCTCCTGGATTTTGATGCCTGTTTCCTTCCCCAGATTAGGGAAGTTCTCTGCTATAATTTGCTACAATATAACTTCTGCCCTTCTCTCTGTTTCTTCTTCTTCCTGGATCCCAATTACTCTAATATTGTTTTGTCTTACGCTATCACTTATCTCTCAAATTCTGCCCTTGTGATCCATTAGTTGTTTATCTCTCTTTTTCTCAGCTTCTTTATTTTCCATCATTTGGTCTTCTATATCACTAATTCTCTCATTTTGGTCTGTTAGAATAAACTGTATCCCAAAATTTTGAAGAGAGAACAACTTATATATATACAAAAAATAAGGTTTACTACAATGAAGGGATAGAATATGACTTTAAAAATGAAAAATAAAAAAGATTTTAAAAAAGGGATTGATAAGATGTTGATTGAAAAAAGGAAAAAGAAAAATCCAAAAAAATAGAAAAAGAAAAAAAGAAAATTTAAAAAAATTAACTTTGAAAGACTAAAGAATCATGGGGAAAAAGCCATGAATTTTATGTGCAGTATTCCCCTAGTGCTGGCGTTCTGTCGTTCTCATTGATTGGTAAACTTGGTCTTGGCTGGCGGTTCTTGTGGATCTTCTGGGGGATGGGCCTGTTGCCGTGATTCTCAAATGTCTTTGCTGGAGAGAATTGTCCCACCCTCGCCAGTGGCCGGGCTAAGTAATCTGCTCGGGTTTGTTCTCGAGAGCCTTTGTTCCCTGCAAGCTTTTGGTACAGCTTTGGAGGATAAGAGTGACATGGCGGCCTCCCAATCTCCGCCCCAGAGGAGCCAAGAACTCAGGGCCCACTCCTCTGTGTGCCTCCAGAGAAAAGCAGTCAATTACTCCTGTCTCCCCATTCTCTGGCCACACTCTGTGCTCACCTGGCCTGTGACTGAGCATTTCTATCTCTGGCACACAACCCCGTGTGGAGTCTCCAAACCCAGCAGATCCCTGAGGTGAGCTCCTGCGCTGCTCCTCCTGGGGGAGGAAGGGGTGTCTCCCTGGATCTGCCGCTTGTTGGGTCCCTGCTGGAGGAGCAGTGGCTCGATTGTGCCACGGATCATGGTTTATGGCAACCCCGAGCTGAGAGCCTGCGCCTTGGCTCCATCTCTGCAGCCAGCTTCCCCACTCCGATCCCTGGGAGCTCTGCCACACTCAGGCACCCCCGGTCTTTCTGTTACCCCGAGGGTCCTGAGACCACACTGTCCCAGTGAGGGTTCCACCCTCCCTACTCCCCCCGCCCCACTTAGCCCCTGGAGTGACATCCCTCAGTGAAGCGGACTTCTAAAAGTTCAAATTTTTTGCTCCAGTGCTCTATCACTTGACAGTAGCTGGCTCCCTCCCCCTGTGGTCTCTCTTCCCAAATATCACCTCAGATTCACTTCTCTGCACATCCTACCTTCCAGAAAGTGGTCGCTTTTCTATTCAAAGAGTTGCTGCTATTCTTTCCTTCAATCTCCTGTTGAGTTTCTAGGTGTTCAGAATGGTTTCATACCTATCTAGCTGAATTCCTGGGACCAGATGAAATTTACTCCTCCACCACCTTGCTCCTCCTCTTGAGACTCGAGAAATGGTTTCTTAATACAAATAAAACCCCCAAAGAGAGAGCACCTCACACCAGTCAGAATGGCTAAATTTACCATGCCAGGAAACAACAAATTTTGGCAAGGATGCAGAGAAAGTGGAACCCTCCTACACTGTTGATGGGAATGCAAGCTGGTGCATCCACTTTGGAAAACAGTATGGATGTTCCTCAAGACATTAAAAATAGTGCTACCCTACAACCCAGCAATTGCACTACTAGGTATTTACCCCAAAGATACAAATGTAGTGATCCAAAGGGGCACATGCACCCCAATGTTTATAGCAACAATATCCACAATAGCCAAACTATGGAAAGAGCCAAGATGTTCATCAACAGATTAATGGATAGAGAAGATGTGACATATATATGAAATGGAATATTACTCAGCCATCACAAAGGATGAATACTTACCATTTACATCGAAATGGGTGGAACAGGAGGGTATTACTGTAAGTGAAAGAAGTCAATCAGAGGAAGACAAGTATCATATGGTTTCACTCATATGTGGAATATAAGAAACAGTGCAGAGGATCATCAGGGAAGGGAGGGAAAATGGAATGGAAAGAAATCAGAGAGGGAAACAAACCATGAGAGACTGTTAATTATAGGAAACAAACTGAGTGTTGCTGGAGTGGAGGTGTGTGGGGGGAATGGGGTCATGGGGTGATGGACATTAACGAGGGCACCGGAGGTGATGAGCACTGGGTGTTATGTGTAACTGATGAATTGTTGAACTGTACATATGAAACTAATGATGTATGGTATGTTGGCTAATTGAATTTAAATAAAAAACTTTATTCACTTCTGCCACATGTAGTAATTTAAACACATTGACAAGAACATTGTGAGCTTCTCTCAAATTCAGTTAAACTGAAAGCTTCTAATTGAATAACAGGATTCATATGCTGAAAATATACTTTCTGATTGGGAAAATTTAAAAATCATAACAGATTATTTCCCTGGAGATTAATTCCTTCATCTCCCTGCCCCGTTCAGCACACAGGATGGTCTGAGCTGTTTGCTTCAGGGGAGACACAGCAGATCTCAAGGATAATACTGGTCTGTGTCTGGTTTTGAGGCAACAGAACAAACAGAACCCACACATTAGAGAAAATCCTTGGGAGACCCTGAGATGAGTCAGAACAAGGCTTTCCTGCTCACCTAATGAAGCATAGAGTGAACGGTTGGACACACTTTTTGTAGGTCTCTCGTGCAGGTGGCCAGACTCCAGAGGAAGAATGAGAGCATGGGGTGGGTAGGTGTAAGAGGCTGAGGGGGCAGAGGAGCCTCCCTGGGGTCCCTGTGCTCCCAGGAAGTTTCAGGGCAGCAGAAGGATTCTTAAGTGAGAAGAAATGACCATGTCACATGTACAGGCAGATGGGGATGTAGAAACTGTCACTTCCAAGCCAGTATGCATGACAAAAGTAGAGTTATCTTGAGATGGGCACTATGTCATTGTCATGGGAAAGAGACAGGGGGACTGAAGTTCCAATGACCAGATAAGGTCGCAGCCATGGCTGCCTGGTCTGGAGGCAAACAGGCAGAGGTTGCTAGCTCCATCCAATAAGTATGTCCTGGAGAGACTGTGGAGGAATTATCAGTTATGGGGGCTGACATCAGGAAGAAGAAGGAGACAGAACTTGAGGAACCTTGTCCATAAGGAGTCTGCCCTCAACTCTATGTGTGTTTTGGGGGCAGGGTCCAGCCTGGGTCAGGGGGCAGCTTAGGGTCAGGTAATAAAGTATACTAGAAGTCAGTGATTAAAATGCTGCCTTGCCCATCCCTCAGGTTGCCTGTGTATTCACCACAGAATGGACATTGTACTCCCGAGTGCTGGCAGCCCCTGGGGCCACGTCAGGGCAGTACAAAGGCAGGCTAGGAAAAAGTTGATGCACGTTTGTAGGCACTCACCTGTCTACCCTTGTCCTGTCTTTCCCTATCATCTGAGGTTATTGTCCGGGAAGAAAGGAGAACTTAGTCTCATTATAATGGTTGCAAAAGCTGGGCAGGAAAAATAAAGGGATCCATGAAAGGGAGCAGTGGGAAGATGTGATGTACTGTGGTCGGGCATTGAGGAGGACTTGTCAGAGGAAATGAGTCAACCTGGGGTCTGAAGGGGGTGTCTCTGGGCCAGTGAAAAGATAGGAACAATGTATTCCAAATCACAGAATTAGCATATGTTTACACAGCAGATGTGGGAGCAAGCACAGAATGCTGGACATGAATCCAAAAGAATGGTCAGTAAGTCAAGGAGAAATGGATGAATGGAGAACATAGGGGATAAATATCCTCTTACGTTCATCTCTAATTATCTGGCCACTTCCCACCCCTACTCCTGGACCAAGCCGGTAACCCTCTTGAGATCAGGAATTATGTCAAAATGCATAGCTTGCAAATAGCAAAGGCCTTCTAATACCAAAATCTCAGTATCTGCATTTGATAAAATAATGGGTGGTTTTTGGTAATTAGAGTATTTACACATCATAGCGAATTACTAAGAAGCTCTCTCAAGGTCATGACAAGTCCAATAGCATGTTGTGGAAGGGTACAATTAATGGGAAGAGGAAGATGGTACCTTGGTTGAAGAACTGCTGCCTGGGGTTGGTGGAGGCATCTGAGGAGTCTGAGGGTTGCTGCATGTTGACTGTGTACTGGTTACAGAAGATCCTGGAAGCTGACTCTGTCCCTGGGTTGGCTGGGTCCTCTTGGATTCATCATTCTGTATGGTTTTGATTTTCTTTTTCTGAAAGAAATTTTTGCCCCTGGTTAATGGTTTTCAATATTAGATGAAACACATCATTACTAGCGAGCAAATCAACTTTTTATTACTAGTTTCTAATTGTGCTAAAATTTCTGTGCTCACAAATTCCAGGAGGTACATGGACTCCATCCTCTCAGGAGGTGACTGGAAAGCAGGCAACCCACACACATGATTGATGCACACAAGAGCCTGGAAATTCCCTCATCCCTGTGGCAAGAATGCTGTGCTGGAATTTATAAAATCTACATTTGAATTTTGTGTCTTTAAGTAGCCTTTGGCAAGCTGCTCTCCTAGTGTGACTTCCAATTTTGTGCACATCTCAAGAGGGGTTATGACTCCACATCTCCTTTATGTGGAGTTATACGCACATGTTATGTGCATACAGTTCTGAAACATCATGTGTGATTAATAACTAAGAGTTTGCTGACACTGAACCTCATTTTCATTCTGCCCCTGGAATCCCTTTTCTCCATTCTTCTATTTGCAGGTTGAAAAATGAATAAAGCACTCAGTGTACATAAGAAGGTAATAAGTGGTAGAGCATAGAAGAAGCTTCTTCAGCGGAACCTTCAGCATCCTACCTTGGACATGGGTATGTCATGGACTGATACCAAATCTTCATTCATGGTAGATGTGGATTCGTCAGTACTGGAGGCATCCTGCTTTCTTGTCTTCATGGGCACTTTTCCTTTTACTCTGCATTGCCTCATAACTGAAGCAGTTAAAAAGAACACGATAAATCCAAAGGAGCTGGTCTAGGGCAGCTGTAGCATTTCCAGTGCTGTGTCCTCTCAGCTCCTGCTTGGGGGTCTGGGAATGCTGGTGTGCTCCCCTCCTTCATCAGCCCACCAGCCAGGTGACAGGAGCTGACTCACACTGCCAGTTTCCTTGCTCCCCTGGGGACATAAGCACAGCCCTCCATCTGCTGGACTCCCAGGTACCTCAGTCAAACCCTTTTCCAACCCACTTATCCTATATGTTCTTTTCAAGAATCTGCAGTTTTGGGGCACCTCAATGGCTCAGTCTGTTATGTGTCTGCCTTTGGCTCAGGTCATGATCTCAGGGTCTTGGGATTGAGCCCCACATGGAGCTCCCTGCTCAGTGGGGAGTCTGCTTCTCCCTCTGCCCCTCCCCCCCGCTTTTCTCCCTCTCTCTCTCTATCAAATAAATAAATAAAATCTTTAAAAAAAAGGATTTGCAGTTTTCATGATGCAATTGGTGGGTTAACTCCTGTGGAAGGTCTGTTTGAATTACAGAAACCAGAGAAAGAAAATCTGATCTAATTGGTGATGTGACAAATTGGTGATACTGGACTTGATGTTTTAAAAAGTTTTTAGGATCCAAAACAAAACAACAATAACAAAGTTTTTAGGATCCAGTGATTTTAGAAGAGGCAAATTCTTCACATCCCTGAGAGTTGGCTTTTTCTTTAAGCATTGCCTCATATTTGTTGCTAAAGAATATAGTAATGACGGAGTAAATATTGTAAGAGAGCAGCATATGAACTGAATGAAGTATTTTTAAATCTCACAATTTTTCCTAATTTTTTTGTCCTTGATCAACCTTCATAATATGTAGAAGTCTCTGCCTTTCTTGTCAACTCTTTCTGCTTTTTTCTTTACTGGTACCCCCAAAATACACCCTGTAAAATATAGTGGACGTCTTTGTAGGAAAGGAATTGTCTAAGTTGTAAACTTGTTGGTGTTCTGAAGGGCCATCTCATTCTCAGCTACCCAGTTGGAAATTGAGAAACGGATCTCTCAGGTGTGCCAACACCAGGGCTCTGCTGGATGTGGGGGCTCAGACCCTGACAGTTAGGGCTCCTGTCCATTACCTTTTTTCTTCTCATTTTTAAGAGTTTTAACAATGTCTCCAAGTCCTTCCATGTCCTTGAATAGATCTATTAGCTTGTCCACACAGAGAGGCCCCCGGAACTTCTTTTCCATTAGGTCAGCAATCTTGACCTTGTTATATTCTTCTTGCATTTTTGTAGTCAGTCTCAAATCACAGGCCAGTAGGGATTTAACCATGCTAAACTGGTAGTTGTCTATGGGCTGTAATCCTTTCAGCAGAATAATTCTCTTATACTCACTCCCCATCTCTTCAGGTGTGGCTGAGCCTGCAAGAGAAAAATACCATACAGTGTTATACCTTTCTCCAGATGATTTAAAAGTCTGGTTGTGTCTATGTGAGTGAGTGGCCCATGTCATGGTGTTGTCCTTGAGTGTGTGTGACAAAGAGGAACTTAATTTCCAGGTGTGTCACTGTGAGTTGAGAACTGTTGTATTCAGGACTTTTAAGAAATTCTTTCCTTCTAATAATGATAGTTGACTTGGGTTGGGGGTGGGTATGATGGCAGGAGATCTGGAAAGAGGCCTTGCTGCTGCCTTATGTGGAGTGTGGGCTATAGGGCGTCAGAATCCCCACTCGTTCGCTCCCTCCTCCCATCCTGTGTTGGGGCTGCAGTCTCTCCCTGGATGTCTGCTTGCTGGCTCCGGACTCTGCCACCCACTCTGCCTGAAGGAGCCCATATGCAGAGTGGGCTGCAGCTTCTCACCCCTGGTGACTGTCTTCCCCGCTGGGTACCTGCCCAGCACACCTGACCCTTCCCTAGTCAGCCCTTCTTGCATCCTCTCTCCCTGGGGCTTGGACCATGTTCTCCGTGTCCTCTGTGCCCTGCTCCCCTTGCTCTCTTGTGCAGAATCACAGCCCTGATTGGCCAGCACTATTTAGTAGTCCTTTTGCTGGAGTTCTACTTTCTTGCTAAAGCAGGAACCCAGCATTTATTGTCTGGAATTATTTCAATAGTTGCTTGATTTTACTCTTCTAGGCTGAATTCCTCTGATCAGTTCTTTTTGGAGAGCCAGATATCCTTCTATGGAGCCACGTTTCTATCCCACATGACATCCTCCAATAGTTCCTCATTTTGGTTTTGAAAAATGTCTTGCTCCTTAGCCTAGCTTGGAAAGCCTTGAATACTCTGCATCTTTTTTACATCTGTAACTTTTGCATTTTGTATGTCATATGCTCCAGAAATATATAACACACCTTGCTTTTCCATGTTTCATGACTTGGCTAATTCCCTCTCTGCTTCCTAAAGGGCGAGTCTCACTTTTCTTCCCCCAACTACCTCCTTATAGCCTTCAAGACTCCACTGAGGTTTTGTCTTCTGAAAGCCCCCAGAATCTGGGACTGGGTGTCACTCCTCTGGGCCTCTTTAGCACCTTATGTACTTCCTTGATGGCACTCAGTACATGGTAGGAATTCCAATTTTCTGTTCATTTAGGGTCCGTGTGTTTGTGTACTTTTTGTATAATTAGCATGTTCAAATTCCCAGGGCTGTGAATTATTCTTTCTTGAGAAAATGTGAACACTCCCAGATTGATAAGGTCCATAGGGTGAAGGATAAATCCTCAAGATATATTGTAGGGGAATTGAAGATTATTAAAAACAAAGTAAAAACTCTGAAAGCTTCCAGAGATAAAGAGTAGATCACCTGTAAAGATTCAAGGATCAGATTGAAACTGATGTTCAACAGCAAAGCTGCCCACCACAGGAAATAGGGTGATTTTCATACAGTACTTGTCCAAATTCCATACTGATTTGAAAACCAAATAATTTCTAAAATGAAATTTTTGTGTTTTGTGTGTGTGACAACATAATTTATTTGCAAAATAAAACCAGATATAAGGTGACAGGAGGCTATATATAATCTTTATTCATTCCACTCAAATGTGAACATTCATATGTTTTATTGCTAAAATATTAGTGTGTTTGATTTTAAAGTAATGATCCAGATCCCACTACGGTGTCCAGTATTAGAGTATTTAAAGTAGGCATATTAAATAGCCTTTCTAAAATGCCCCAATTCTGAATTTCAAAACATATGTAGCCCCAGGGCTATCAGAAGAGGTACTGTCTCCCTATCTTGAGGGCAAAATGATTTTAAGAGGTGAATTTTAATCTAGCCAAGATGATATTTAAATGTGAGGGCCTCAAAAACTATTCCCTGATATTCAAGGCCTTGGTAGTTTGTAAGACAAAGACCTATATGTAAACATCTATTGGAGGAAATATTCGATACTAAAAATAACATATAGAGCCAAGAAATACTGCAAGCCCAAAGGTAAGTAAGAGCAAGAACTGAGCTTGATGAGGTGTGCCTATGTCTTCCACATAAATACAGCTCTGACTGAAGACGAGAGACAGGAAGCACAACAACATGGTGGAGGGAGGGAGGACAGTGAACAGGGCAGGCAGTTCACTAAAGTATTTGTCTTCAAGGGTAAGATAAAGAAATAAGCAAAAACAGAAGTACAAGAAAGGAGAATATAGAAATGTCATAAATGTAATTGAGGATAGCAGAAACAAAACCATACATGTTAATCATCAACATATACTTAAATGGCCTAACCAGTTAAGTGACAAATTTAGTCAAATTGCATTTACGGAAAAAAAAAAAAACTGCATTTATGAAATCTGCCAATAGAGTTGTTAAGAAAATATTACTTAAAGGTGGGAAAATGAAAGAAAAATATTTTATCATGCAAAGAGTAACTAAAAGAAAACCAGTTATCTGTACTAGTGTAGCTTGAAATAGACCTGAAGAAAAAAAAAAAAGAAAGAAATAGACCTGAAGATAAAAGGTATCACCAGAATGCAACACAATGACAAAGGCTGACCTCCTAGGGAAATAAAACAGTTGTAATTATGTATTTACCTGCTAATAGTAAATATATATTATTGTTACTTTGTATTCCTTTATAATGCTATACTATTACATATTATATTTTATAACATGATTTACATATTATAATATAAAAATTATATTTGTAGTATTATGTAGCATGTTTCTCTTCACACACCCAAACACATTTTATATACATGTGTACATATATACATAATTACATATATAATATATATTATATTATTGTATATATAAATTTGAGAGAACTACAGGACAAAAACCTCACAATTTTATGGTAGGAGATTTTAGCATATCTCTTAATTACTAAATAAACAAGGTAAAAAAATTCAGCAGAGATTTAGGAAATAGGACTAACATTAATAAACATAATTAACAAGGTTTATGTAACATACATAAAACTCTGAAATCAGCATTAAAAATCTCATACTCTAATCAAGCACATACAGAATATTATTATACAGACCATACAGAAAATCGCTCAACAATTCTGAAAGTCTATTTGTAACTGATTCTCCCTTCCCCTCCCCTATACTTTGCCACTAGAAAAAAAAAATCAGTAATTTTCAGGAAGGCAGACAGTATGTTAAAAGGAACTGAAATAAAAGCTCTGGCGGTATAGTCTGAAGTATAATATAAAAATTAAACTGTCATGGGGCACCTGGATGGCTCAGTCGTTAAGCGTCTACCTTCGGCTCAGGTCATGATCCCAGGGTCCTGGGGTCAAGCCCCGTATCGGGCTCCCTGATCAGCAGGAAGCCTGCTTCTCCCTCTCCCACTCCCCCTGCTTGTGTTCCCACTTTTGCTGTCTCTCTCTGTCAAAAAATAAATAAAATCTTAAAAAAAAACTTAAACTGTCTTAAGAGAGGTAAAGAAGTCATGTTTTTGCATAACTGTCTGGGGAAGTGAAACTTTTTCTACTCTGTGCATGTATGTGTGTGTGAGTGTTTTCTAAAATCAGGATAAGACCATACAATGCAGCCTTAAACCCAGATGTATTTTTTACTTAATATTATGTTCTGATACTTTCCTCATGCCCCTAACTTGACTTCTGCCCAGAACTCTACCAAGGCCACCAAGAGTTTCCTGGACACCACCTAGGGAAGAAAACCAAATGCTTTTTCTAAATATAACCAATAAACCATGATTAGGCCTTCTCAAATCCACACTGGGCCCATGGAGAATGGCTTAGTGATAATATAATAAATTTTCATGTCTTCTATAGTCAAAATGCATCTCCCTTCGTTCAGGTGTCAGGTGTGGTGGGATAAACATGTCTGTTCCTTGTCTAAGTATTAAAGGATTAGAATCAAGCTACTAATGTTTTCATGTCTCTGACTATAGTTGATACCAGCCCCCCTCCCCCCCAACCCCGCCCCATCCAATTCTTCATACCCGAAGCCCCCTGGTTGTTTTGTGCTTAGCCAACCAGGGCCCACAGCTGTCTACAGAAAGCCCACAGGGCCTCACCTTGCTGAAAATCTCCAGGAGTCCGGATCCTGAGGTCTTCTTCAGAAATGCAGGAATCACTGCTTACTTTGCTTGAGGAGGAAGATAAATCAACAAAGCTCCAGAGACTGAACTGCAGGATATGATAATCTCCTGAAGGGCAGAGGAAAAAGAAGTATTTTGAAAGATAACAAGCACAGATGGCACTGCTTAGAGTCACTGAAAACTTCACTGGTGCTGGTTTCCTCAAACTGCGCTGTCCCCTGGAGAGAGAAGTTGCAACACAATTTTGAGACACCTCCCTCCGATGCTCTTAACTTTCGATTTCATTAGTCAGAGAAAATAAACAGTTTCCTTCCTGTAAGTACTTAGATTTTAGCAAAAGTATAATTGAGTTTTTGTTACAAATGTCAGTAGATGGAAGGAGTTCCAACATTAGAACTCCAGCAGACTTACATATGGGTCATTAGAAACCTATATTCCCGTAAATGACACTCAAATGTAAGAAAAGTTAAGATGAGTCACCAGGCTGCTTATCCCTCATTTCCTGTTCTCAGAGTGGTAGGAGGAGATGTTAGAAGAGGCATCTCTCTCTACTAATACTTGACTGTACCTCCAGGAAGAGGGTAGGTCAGCTATGAAATCACTCTTGGTTTAAATAGTGCCTGAAGCATTCATCCAGTTAATAATCGACACACCTGGAGCTTGACAGAAGTAGGTCATTACGAATATGTGAATCCTTCCTCAGAGATATAGCAAGGAAGTTACCCTCTCAACTATGTCTAGGCTACTTTACCTCACTGATAAAATTAATGATCACTCACATTTTCTGCATTATTCATGGAAAAAACACAGGTGGGTAGTAAGCTCATATCATGGCAGCATAAGCTTTTGTAATTTCTGGAAGAACACTGAACCTCTGGACTGAGAGGGGCTTGATCCCCTTTTGTTCTGTGATGTTTTTTTCTGTGAAGGACAGTGGATGCATTCCAGAGTACCATAAACCATGACATGTCAAATAAATGGCATCAAGCAGCTGACATGATGGTTGAAACCCACCAGCTGATCTGCAAGTAGGATGAAGCCAGGGCTGGAAAAGGATCCCAAAGGATAGCTGGTGTTGGTGGATGATCCGAGGTCATCTAAAGAGAAGAAAGCTGATTATTTTAATCCAGACTATAGTAGTGGAATGGATAGCTGAAGTCTAGATGTGGGAGCATCTGAAAACTCCACCAAAGCATGAGGAAAGTCATGGGAAGGTGAAAGGGATCTGGCGGGATCTCCACAAATACCTGTGGGTGTTCCCTCCTTCTTTTTAAGGCTATAGGTTTTTATGATGCAGGGAGCTGGTCTTAAGGTAATGGGTGGAGAGGGACATTAGGGAGGTCAGAGAGGGCCCCATCCCAGAGATCAGAGGATAGAGGACACATGGGGGGAATGACCATATCAGGATATTTTCCTGCTCCTTTTCTCATCAACAGTTCATGTGGAATAATGTCCTTGTGACTCCAGCACACAACAAGCAGATAACTGTCATCAGTAAGGACAATTCAGAGCAATGTTCCATAATTCATTCAGTACAGTTGGAATTATAATAGATGAAACAACAGAATGCTAAAAAAAAAATGTGCATTTTCCTAACTTACAGGCAGTAGCCAAACAATTGGTTATTTATGCTGTCATGCAAAAAACTCACTAGTAGAACATACAAGAACTCTTGATACAGAGAAAAATGGATACACTTACATGACTCTTTATTATCTGAAGTATTAATTCACATAGTCAAAATCCTCAGGAAAAGTCCCCACTCGATTAATGTCCTGTGGGCCAAAGCTAATACACTCTCTGTTTTTGTGAATAAAGTTTTATTGGAACACAGATATGCTCATTTACTTATGCATTGTCTATGTCTGTCTTCATGATGCAACTGTGGAGCTGACTAGCCACAGAGCCTAAAGTTTCACTATATGGCTCTTTATAGAAAAAAAAGTGTCAACTTGCACACTAAGCCATCAGTCTAGGAGATAGCAGAGGGAATCTAAGGAGAGAAGCAGAAGTAAGTAAAAGAAAATCACATCAGGAAACCATGATCAGGCCTTCTCAAATCCACACTGGGCCCATGGAGAATGGCTTAGTGATAAAGTTTGTGTCTCAGAGAAAGAAGCAGAAAGGGAGGGTATAGGCTGAACTGTGTTACCCCAACATATGTTGAATTCATATGTTGAAGCCCCAGCCCCCACTGTGACTACTGTATTTGGTTGGAGATCGGGCCTTTAAGGAGGTAAGTTAAGATGATGTCATAAGGGAGGGGCATTAATCCAATGTGACTGGTGCTTTTCTAAAAAGAGGAGATTTTAACATACCCAGAGACCAAGGATGTGCACACACAGATGAAGACCACAAGAGGGCACAATGAGAAGGTGGCTACCTGCAAGCTGGAAGAGAGGCCTCAGTGATAAGGAAAATCTGTGTCCTAAGATGGCCGACCGAGCCAGCGAGAGAGTCCCAGTCCTTGCCCCGGGGCTCTTCCAGGTTCTTCTCCTTGCTCTGCCAAAAGTGCCAAGTAGGCAGAAGTAGAAGTGTATAAATTGTCCCCTTTGGTTATGCTCGGGGCTCAGACCTTTGGAGACCACTCTCCTCTGAGCCCGCCAGCGTTCAATAATCCTCCTATCCTCCGAGATCTCCGGGTGCTGCTTGGTTCTTCCGTCGGGCGATCCAGTCCAGGTTCCGTAACATTTGGTTCCCTGACCGGGAAACCCAACAACGCTGGCCCATTGTTGCCACCAGTTTGGGGGCAATGGCGGGACGGTGACTGAATGAGGGATTGAAATGGAGAAGGTGCGCCCTGCCTAATTTTTGGCAGTTTCCCGCCCCGGTCGCCTCAGGACAACCCCGCTCCATTCTTCCCGCCGGACTTGAGGAGACTTGGCAGGTGAGGACCGGGTCTCAATGTCAGATTCCGGTAAGGCCATGGGCCCCAGGACCCAGACAGGCCCACCCCCACTGCAGTGGAAGGGGAGCCTGATCACCTCCCAGAGACCTCTTAGAGCTCTCACAGGTAGGGATTCCCAGGGAGGGAATGTAATAACTTCTGGAGTATGAATGTGTGAGTGAATGTGCAGTCTGACCTGGCTTGCTCAGCAGATTGATTCTGTGACTCCACGGGCAGGCACCCTTAAGGTCCCCAGAAGCCTACAGAGTCTATGTGGGCCCATCTGTGATTCCGTGGTGAAAGGCATACAGTCTATGGTGGCATCTGAATAGTTTCTGATCGTAAGTCACAACACTGAGACTGCTACAGCTAAGCCTCACCTAAGCTCTTTCGGGACACGGCCAGATGGGCATCTGATTGGTCTCCTCACCTCAGGAGGCACCCCCCCTTTGTCTGTCTCTGCCACCGCACATGGGGACATCACCATGGGGTCAGGGCAGAGTAAACTTATGGTCCTAGAGACCATGATCAGAAATTTCAAGAAGGGGTTTTTGGGAGACTATGGAGTCAGGATGAACCCCGGCAAGTTGAGAACCCTATATGAACTGGAGTGGCCCGCTTTTGATGTCGGGTGGCCTTCAGAGGGGACACTGGATGCCCCAACGATTTGTCAAGTATGGCGAGTTGTAACAGCAGAACCAGGACACCCTGACCAGTTTCCATTCATTGACTCCTGGCCAGAACTCCTGGCTAGGAGTTGTTCAGACCCTTCCTCACTGGGTGTGATTCACTTGAGTCTTAATCACCTCATCCAAGCAACCTAAAGAAAATCAGCAAAAACCCCAGTATCCACAAATCCTAGCCGGATATCCCAAGGATGAACCAACCCTGACCCCACTGTACGTACCCCCAAGACCATCTACACCTGGCCCTTCAGCTCCAGACACTCTGCCACCATCGGTTTCACTGGTACCCCCAGGCCCAGAAGATCCACTGGTGCCCCCAGGCCCAGAGGATCCACCAGCACCCCCAGGCCCAAAAGATCCACTATCTCCAGGACCAGCAACCAGGCTGTACCGCAGGCCGGGTGCAAGCACCATCCAAATGCCGGTATGAGAGACGCAGGAACCCCAGAGTCATGATGAAGATGGGACAGTCCAATGTGGCTGTTCCATGATGTATTATCAGCCCTTCTCCACCATACACACCTTAAAGTTCTGCACCCCCAGTTCCAAACACTCCACCGCCATCAGTGGATCCACTCTTTCCAGGACCAGCAGCCAGGCTGTGCCCCAGGCCAGACGCAAGTGTCCTCCAAATGCTGGTACGAGAGACACGGGAACCCAAGAGATGCAGTGAAGATGGGAGAGTGCAACCAGGTCATTCCATGATGTATTATCAACCTTTCTCCACCACGGACCTCCTCAACTGGAAACCCAGCACTCCTTCCTACTCTGAGAAAACACAAGTTATGGTAGCCCTCATGGAATTCCTCTTCCAGACTCACTGGCCGACCTGGGAAGACTGCCAACAGTTATTCCACACCCTTTTTAACACAGAAGAGAGGAGAATACTGAGGGGAGCACGGCAGTACCTAGAAGAGCATGCACAAGCGGGAGTCATCGACCCTGGGCTAACACAGCTGCACCTGAGGAGTGCCCAGCATGGGACTTCACCACAACCAAGGGACAGGCCCACATCCGCCAATTCCAGGAGGTCTTCTTCTGGGAAATCTGGGCAGGAGCTTAGAAACCCATGAACATGACTAAGATATACTCAGTCACTCAACAACCAGGGGAATCCCCCAGGGACTACTACGAAAGGCTATGTGAAACCTACAGGATATACACTCAATTTGACTCTGAGGCACAGGAAAGCCAACAGATGGTAAACACCTCCTTCATGGCTCAGGCCACCCCAGACATCAGAAAAAAACTTCAGAAACTAGAGGGTTTTGCCGGAATGAACATCACCCAAATAGAGATTGCCAATAAGGTCTACATGAACAAGGAGGTCACAGCCGAATGGGAAGCTGACAAAAAGATGAAAAAGAAAGTCAGCCTCCTCGCCGCCGCCCTGAAAGAAAAAGACAACACAAAGATGGGGAGACCCCAACCACCGAAAGTGGGGAAGCCCAGGACCCCCTTGGCAAGGGATCAATGTGCCTACTGTAAAGAGAAAGGGCATTGGAAAAATGAATGTCCCAACCGGGGAAAGACTCAAAAGCTCAGACATTATAAGGAAGAACCCTGAGAGGAGGACCTCATAGGCCTTGAGGGAATGGACTCAGACTGAGGGGGACTGGGCTCTTTCCTCCTTTGCCCCCATAAGCCCACAGTCAAAATGAAGGTAGGGGGCCAACCAGTGACTTTTATGGT